AGATCCTCAGATCTCAGATTCCTAGCATAGCTAGGATCACAGGCCTGTCATTTGATTTTTCAAGAGGCTTATGCTGTAGACTTTTAGCTCTTAGAAGGTGCCATGCTGCCTTCAAGAGTTCTGGATATTAGACTCAAGGGTCTGCTCCCCGTCCTGGGCAAGGGCTCTAGAGGTGGCCCTATCACAGGGATCCCTTTGTCCTCCTAGGCTGAGTAATGGCAGTGAGTGGCTCTTCCATGGCAAGGATGAGGTAAGTGTGGGCAGCCTGGTTCTAGCTGGCTTACCAAGGGGATGGGGCAGGGTGCCCATGACATAGGCCATGAGGGCTGCCTCAGAACGGGCAGCCTCACTCCTGGGTGCTGCCCTGGGAATGCTGTGTGCTCCTGGAATCTTCCCTGATGCTCCTGCCCCCCCCAGGAGGAGATGCTGTCCTGGCTGCAGGGGATGAGCACGGCCATCAACGAGTCCCAGAGCATCCGTGTCAAGGCACAGAGCCTGCCCCTGCCCTCCCTTGCTGGCCCAGACGCCAGCCTCGGCAAGAAGGACAAGGAGAAGAGATTCAGCTTCTTCCCTAAAAAGAAGTAGCAGCTGGTGGCCACCTTAGGTGGGGCTGGCCAGGCAGGTGCAGCGGGTGCATCAGGATGCTCAAGGACCAGGAGGCCATGGCCTTGACCTCTGCAGCGGCCAGTCCTCCTCCCACCTGCCACCTGCTGTCCGTAGCCTGCCTGCTCATGTCACAGGCCAGCCCTGGGGCCCCATGCTGTGCTGCAATAGCTGCCTTTGCCCAGCCTGGCTGCCCACTGCCTGCCAACACACCCTCTGCCTGCCCTCTGTGCAGCCGGCTCGGCTCCGGGGACTCCCAGCTCCTCCAGAGCTGGAAACGGTTCACCCAGGTGCACGCCCTCCTCTCCCTGTCCGTTCCCCGCCCCCCTCCCATAAAAGCCAGAAAGTGTTGATGGGGGTCCCTAAGTGCTGCCCTCACTCACAGCTGTTTGGGAACCACCATCTATGGAAAAGGAAAGGGAAGAGAGACACTGGCAATGCCTGTCCTGACCCGAAGGGGACTTTACGAGGGCGACAGACCCCCAGCACCACAGCCAGGGGCCACTGCGAGAGTGAGGGGACAAGAAGAGACGGGAGGTCTTGAGTACCACCAGCCTGCTCCCCACTGGGCAGGGCCAGCATGCCCCCCCTCCCCCGCCACCTCCCCAGTTTGGTTAATGAGCCTTCTGCTCTCCTCAGCACCCTTGTCTCCCAGCCCAGGTAGAGTAGGGAAGACCAGCAGCCCTGAAATCATTCCCCTTTGAAAATTCTAAGTCAAGAGTTTAGGACTTGGGGCTGACCCAAGGAAGAACGGACAGGTCTGACCCTGCCCAAGGCTCCACCTTGCTGTGCCAGAGCCCCACCCCAACTCATCATAGCAGCCAGAGGCTGGCTCCTAAAGGAGCCTGCGGATGGCAGACACAAGCTGGGTACCCCAGCATGGGCCCATTGTCTTGTCTAAAGCAGGTACCATCCACGCTACTGACTGATCCACAGCAAAGAATCACATGAGGTGACAAATGTGGCCTCTCTCATGTTGAAGTCTGTAATACAACAAGTCCTGGCCCTCTGGGATGAATGCTGGGGCCAGAGCCATGAAGTGTGGCCCACCATGATCAGGTCTCCTGAAGGCCTGGACTTGGGTTCTGGGAGCCACATGGACACAGACATTGCCAAACATTTACCATCCCTTCTCCAAGCACCTGAAGGGGCTCAGTCCCAGGGGAGGGCCTTCTCATACTTCCAGAGGAAGGAGACCACAGGTCCCTAGTCCCATAGGACTAGGCCTGTACACCATTCTGAAAGCAATAGAGCACCAGCCAAACACCTTCGCTGGGGTTAGATCCAAAAGAGGAGTCCAGTTGGAGGCAGCAGGCATTGTCCCCTTGGGAGACCATTGGGGTTCTCACAGCCAGTGTCTATGGCCTTCCCTGTAGGAAGGAGCTTTGGTTGTGTGGAGCTGATGCAGGCTAAGCTCAGGGAGGAGCCCCTTCCCAGCATCCCCCAGCGCTGACTAGGGCAGACACAACTCAAGAGAGAGCAGTTCCATCCTGTGGTCCCCACACTACGATGTTGCTTGGAGCCAACTCCAGCAGACAGGAACCACTGGAGGGAAGAGGCTAGCCACTGGAGCCCGAGCCTCCGACCAGATGTTCCACCTCTGTAACCAGGGTCTTCATTTGGCCTCAACGCTTAGACCCCTGAAGCCTTCTGCTTTCACAGAGAAGCTAGTGAGTACCTCTCACCAGCTTCCTCTCTACATCTGGGGAAACCAAGGCAGGGAGGTGGTTGCACTTACCTGGCAGTAAAGTTAGCCTTTGGTTCACTCAAGTCATGCCCACCGCTGAGGCAGACAGCAGCTCACTGCTGAAGGGTGGAGGTAGCAAATAGCTCCCTTGAAGTGTTTCCCTGGGCATCTCTGGGAGGTCAAAAGTCTACCTTCCTCCATGTGTGCCCAAGTGGCATCTGAAGAATTTCTAGCCAGGAACTCCACAGGGCCAGGAAACAAAGGGCCCCGATGGCAGGTCCCAGGATTGGGCAAGGAGAACCAGCTGCATGTGACCCACCATCACCGCCAGCTCCCCATGCCTCCTGCCCTCGTCACCCAGGTCCCGAGACACTCCACCAACTGAACCGATGGCAGGCAGCCGGCCCTGTGCCACTCCTGGTGCCCTGGTAAGGTTTATTTTCCTCCCTACATTTTCTACTTTGCAGTCTTTTCCATGACAGTATACCCAAACTGGGTTGGCAGAGCCCCAGTCCACACCAGCATAACAGGCTTCCCCCGCAGGGCAGTTAGAGGAAGCTCCTTCTGGGCATTGTCAGGCAGTTTTCCTTCCCTCTCTCTTCTCCTCTGTCCCTGGCCTCAGCTGATGGGCTGAGGGAGGAATAGAGGGTCCAACCCTCTCCCTACCTCCACTAGCACGGGCAACAGGAGTCCTGCACAGGCTCGGCTTCCCCTCTCCCTTCACTCCTCCTTCCTGCCTTTCGGAGGGCAAAGACTAGATTCCCTTCCTCTCTCAGAGGAAGGGGGCTGAGATCCAGAGGAAAAAGAGGCCAGTGGGCCGCATGGCTCAAGCAAGCTCAGGGAGGACTCAAGAGAGGAGGCGGCTGTGGAGGAATGCAAGCCTGTTGGGCACAGACCATGCCATCTGGGGCTGGCCCTGGGGCCGGCTGGGCCTTGTCCTCCACCTGCTCCAATGTGCTTCCACCAACCAGAGGAAAACCCATTTACTAGTTTTTTCTAATAAATCAATAATGCTCCACATTTGTTTCAGTATTTTTATTTGACTAACCTCCTTTTCCCTTTGAACTAAGCCTTACATAAGAGACAGGACAGGGCTGGGAAGGTGGCTCAGTGGTAGAGTGTTTGCCTTGCATGCCTGAAGCCCTGGGTTCGATTCCTTAGCACCACATAAACAAAAAGAAAAAAGCTGGAAGTGGTGCTATGGTTCAAGTGGTAGAGCGCTAGCCTTGAGTTGAAGAGCGGAAGGACAGCACCCAGGCCCAGAGTTCAGGCCCCATGACCGGACCCAAAAAAAAGAGAGAGAGAGAGAGAGAGACAGGACAATCTAAACTCTAGCTGGTATCCTGGGGAGTCTTAGGGAGACCGTCATGCATTCCGTCAGCTTGAAGGCCTGTGGCAGGGCAAAGTGGTTTCTAAGCAAGCCCCTGTGCCTGGGGTCCATCTCCGGAACAGGTTCTGTGTGGTCTAGGTAGACAGAATGTAGGCACTGCTGGGCTTCACAATGCTCCACAGGTGATTCTAATGGGCCCTTAGCAAGAACCACTGCTCTGGAGCAGGATCCTCAGGCAGTCCTAGACAAGATTTAAGGACCACCTGGAGAAGGGTCAGCTGTGATTGCCAAAGGCCCAGCTCAGAAAAGTCCATCAGGGAGTATGGGACCCAGAAACTCATCCAACTTTTCAGTCTGTAGATGAGTAACAGTGTTGGGTGATCCCGCTAGCTAGTGGCAAGGCTGGGACAAGAATCTGGGTCACCTGTCCATTACACTTACGGCTTCTCAGTGTCCTATCCCAGGACTGGTCTGGTCAGGGCCAGCTCCCTTTTTTATACTGTGAAGATGACCACAGAAGGGTCAGGCAGCTGGTAAAACACAGGCTTCTGGCCGCCTACTATGCTTCTGCACAGGAGGCTGCCACCAGCCCCCAGTGCTCCCTGGTCCTTTCCTTGGGAGACTCCGTTGACCCATGTCCAGGTTGAGTCAGACCCTCACGGGGGTCTGACCATGACTCCGTAGAAGCATGGCTGAACCACTCTCCCACTGGGGACCCACAGCCCTTTCTCCCTGGCCCCAGTCGGAACAAACCAGACAAAACAAGGGTGGACCTCCATGAAGAAGGGACAAAAAACAACAAAACAAAAAAACCCCACAAATTTGAAATAGGCACTGCTGGCCCTTGGGAATCACCTATTTGCGAACACACTGGACATGGAGCATGTATTCCAAAAAAAATGTACTTGCTCTTCCCTTCCCTCTCCTAATGCTGCAAGCCACTTTAGGACCTTTCCCGGCCCCTGCCTACTGGGATGCCTCCTGGGAACTAGAGAGAGAGGGAGGAAAAGGCACTGGAAACTTGGGCATATTGGATTGTCTGGCTCCCCACCCCTCAACCCTCCTTTGTTTTTTAGGATTTTTTTTTTTTTAAGCACAATTTTGACCCTTCCCTTGGAAAAGGTTGATATGTAGAATCCCAAGTAGGACACCAGCCGTGGGTGGACAGAGAAGTGCGTGGAAACAAACACAGCAGAGAACACTTTATCACTCTGTGGGTCCTGCCTGTTCCACAAGAACCCTTGTGTCTTCTGCTTCCTAAGCCTGAATGATTAATAAGCATGTGAAGGGGAGAGGGGATTCCCTGTTCCTGCCTCCCCCAAGGCAGCCCGGGCCCACTAACAACCCTGCCCAGGTCCCAGTAAGGAAGCCACACACAGGTCAGTTGGTCAGCAGTGGTTATTGCACCATTGACAAATAATGAAATGTGTGTACATTAGCAACAACTTTCAAAAGTACCTGAACTAAGTCCATTACATTCTTCACAGGAAGGGGAAGGGGTGGAGAGGGGGGAGGGGGAGGATAACCAATAGGAGGATACACACTTGCACACACACAAACACACACACACACACACACCACAGGATGGAAAGCAATAAATTATTGGCCTCATTCTCACCTGAGTCCTAAGAAAAGGTACAGTTTAAAAGTAAAACCTGTCCAGTCCACTTCTTGGGTCTCTTTCATAGGTCCTTAGACCGGGAGTGGCCAGCCAGTGCTGGAGGCCTGGGCAGCGCTTGCTCTCTCTGGTCAGATATGAGCTTAAATATTTGGTTCCTTACCAGAAAGGCCTATTTACAAGGGAAGCGGAGGCAAAGGTGTCCATGGAAAACAACAGTTCATCTGGGCCTGAGGAAAGTTGTCACAGGCCCCAAGGAAGTGCAGTGCCAGCACATAGCATGCATGGAAGGCTGAGTCCATGGGTACATGCTACAGCCCTCTTCCAAGAACAAGAGGGATGGATGGCCTTCCAAGAAGAGAAGGGATGGCCTTTGTGAGGCCCTGGCCTGGGCTCAAGTGAGCCCAGACCTGGGGGAGGTATGCCAGCTTCCACCCCATCCCAGCAAGGTCCTCCCTTCCCACAGGAGTTGGTCAACCCACAGAGTTCAAGGCCTGGAATTTTTCTCTCAGGTTTCTTACTCTGCCCTGCTTGCTTGGGTCCCCTGGGTCCCTGGGCCCTTCTTCCTTTGGCCAGGATTCTACAAACTCCTGGAAATCTTGGCCCTGCTCTACTATGGCTCCTGGGGAGGCTTGTTCCTGTCCACTGCCCTCCTCCTCCAGCCCCACAGAGGAGCTGAGAACAGGCCCCTTCTCCATGACAATCACCCGATGGTTGTTCTCCAGGGTAAGGTCTGCAGTGACATACAGGGTTTCACCTCCATTCAGTACACTTTGGGGTAACCTAGGAGCCAGGGACTGGGAACTCTCTCTACCTCCCCGTCCCCTCTTAGTACTCAGGCTACGACAGCGGCCCACCCTGCCTGACAGAAGAGGCTCCACCATGCTCTCGGGTAACGAGCGGCTCCTGTTGACTGGTGGGCCACGAGACCAGCTGCCCCCAGCCTGGACAGCCTCATCGTGGGAAGCGTACTTGGAGCAGAGCTCTCGAACATCTGGCCAGTTGAAGGTTTCAGTGTCGAAGGGACTGAGGGGGCTCCGTGTGGAGGGCCAGGGCCCAGGTGAGGTGGTTCTCGGGCTGACTGAAGAAGGGCTGAAGGAAAAACGGCGTGGTGATGTCTCCGTGGCAGAGGACCTGGGGGGACTGTATTCCTGGGCCACCAGCTGCTCATAGCTGAGGGACAGCCTGGGCTTCCTCTTGCCTGTGAAGAGAGATCAAGCTGTCTGAAATCACCAGCACAGGAAGGCAGAGCCAGGAAGGGAGGGCTTGGAATGGGCCTCAGCAGGTTAGGGGGTTTTGGGGGGTACCATGGAAGAAAAATCCCATTTACCCCCTGCTGCTCTTTCATCAAAGGGCAATAAAGGCAGTAAGTAGGGGTGAGGAGTCAGCAGCAGCTATGAGAGGTTTTCCTTTCATCCGGGTAAGGAAGTGTCCCTGGCTATATTCCTCTAAGCTCCCTCGGCTCCTCCAGGAAGGGCTGGGAATAGGGTACTCAAAAGGTACTGGGAGGATTTAACCAGATCTCAGTTTCCTGAGTAGCTAGGATTTCCAGGTATACGCTACCACACCCAAAACAGGATTCAATGCCAGCCTGGACAGGAAAGTCTGGAAGACTCTTATCTCCAATTAAGCACCAAAAAAGCTACAAGTAGAGCCATAGCTCAAGTGGTAGAACACTAGCTTTGAGCAAAAAAGCTAAGGGACAGTGCCCAGGCCCTGAGTTTAAGCCCCAGGACTAGCAAAACACAAAACAAAACAAAAAACAGGAGAATATGTTTGACCTCAGAGGGTTAGAGCAACTGCCTGACCTCACCACACTCATAACATTTTCTTGGGCATAATCTCTTTAGAGACTACCTTCCTCAGGGGCACTGGATCTTAACTGGCTTTTGTGTGTCTTCGTATGTACCAGTACTGGGGCCTGAGCTCAGAGCCTTGGGTACCCCCTTTGGCTTTGAGCTGATGCTATACTACTTGAACCACACCTCCACTTCCAACTTTTTGGAGATAAGGATTTTAGGACTTTCCTGCCCGGGGCTGGGCTGTAAACCCTGATCCTCAGATCTCAGCTAGGATGATAGGTGTGACCCACCAGTGTCCAGCTCCTCATTGGCTTCTATGTCCCTAGGTCCCTCCCCACCCCCACGTCACACCTTTGCCACGTGAAGGCTCCTTAGACTCCTCCTGCAGGTAGGGGATGGTGGGGCTCGTCCCATCTCTTCCAGGAACGTCCTTTGCCCACTGCAGTGGTGGCCTGGTGGTCACTGACTTGATGTTCTTAATCCGGAGGCTGTATTGGCGGGCCAGCTGGTAGACCTTATTCTTGACCCGCTCACTCACATGGCTGTCCATCACCTGGGAGAGCTGCACAATGCGGGGGTGCAATGGGGTGACCACATCTTCCTGGGCATTACTGCTCAGCTCTTTGACCAGCTCTTTGAGCTCCCGGGCCAGGTGGGCTGGGCTGTGTTTCTCGGTGGGTGAGGCATTTTCTGGGGAGGCAGCAGCCGACTCCTCCGTGATAGCTCCCAGCTCGTGTTCCTCCAGGATGAAGAGTGGCTCCTGCAGCTCAAAGCCGTTGGCCTGGCCCTGCCCTGGCCCCACCCGAGGGCTCCTCTGCGAAGACTCCATCCTCTCCCACATCTTCACAATTTCTGAAGACGGCTGAAACTCAGCATCCGTGACCGGAGCTGGGTCCCCTGGGCCAGCCTGCATAGGTCCTGGGAGATCAAACAGGACCCATGAGGCTGGCCGGGAGCCACCTTGTCTCTTGTACTCCACCGGAGCTGCTGGCTTTGGTTCTGGCTTGGGAAGGCTGTTGAACCTGGACACTGAGCTTCTCACCAGTCCTTTGGGGATGTAAGAGAGACTCTCCCTGCGCCGGATGCTGAAGCCTGCGTCATGGTGCTCTGCATTTTCATAGTAGCTCTTAATTTTGTCCAGTAATAGTCTATCTCGGGTGGAGAGCGCGGATTCCTTCTTGCAGGAAGGTCTATCAGGCTCTACTCCACAGGCTGTGTTTGGGGGCTCCGTCCCATGGACAGAAGGGCCACTCTCTGTGGCCACCCCCTCGTTCATGTCCACTTCTGGGGTAGGATGGTTGATGAGGGAGTCCGTGGTGCTGCCCCACCGAGCCAGGCCCTTTTCACTGCCCTCTAGGCTGAGCACACTGCTGCTCCGGCTAACCAGCCGCGGCGTCCCAAAGCCACTGTTCTTACCCTCGTCCAGTGCCAGGCTGCTCCGCCGAGAAAAACTGTTGACAAACCGCTCAGCAATGACACTGGCCTGGTCCAATACGGAAGGTGGCAGGAGACTTTCAGGCTCCTGGGTTGCTCCCATTTCCTCCTCTTCCTCCTCCTCACTGCTTAGAGCCTTAAGGTCCTCAGTGCTCTCAGCCACCACAAAGTCCACCATGTCAGCTGAGTGGGCATTAAGCTGTGTGTTGAGGTGTTCCAGAGAATCTGGATCTGAAGGCAACTCCTCGGTGCTGGGACCTTCCGTGGCAGCAAAGACCTCCTGGACCTCCTGCTCAGTCCCAGGATGAGGGTCTGGCTCAACCTGAGACAGAGCAAAGAGAGTTCGTGTGAGTAAAATCCCCTTCATGCTGGGCACCAGTGGCTCACGCCTGTAATCCTAACTACTCAAAAGGCTGTGATCAGAGGACATGGTTTGAAGCCCGCCTAAGCAGGAAAGTCTGAAAAACTCGTATCTCAAATTAACCACCAAAAAGCTGGAAGTAGAGTTCAAGTGGAAAGTACCAGCCTTGAGGGGGGAAAAAAAAGCTTAGGGAGAGTGCCAGAAGTGGAGCGATGGCTCAAGTGAGAGTGTGTTAAGCCTTGAGCACAAAAGCTCAGGGACAGTGTCTTAGGCCCTTAGTTCAAGCCCTAGTACTGGCACACACACAAAGCCCTATCATGATACCCGGGGAACAAGAGGATGCACTGCCTGCTCAGAGTCCAGGGAGAGGGCCTGTAGTTTAAGATGATGACAATCAGCATGAGTAAGACTCAAAAGTAGGGCAGCAAGTCCTTAGAGAGAGGAATGTGATTGTGGCCTTTGTCACACTGTAATAGGAGGCTGGGGCATGCCTTCACACCCAAGGGAAACACTAGGAACAGAGAAGGACAATGACACGGCTCAGTGACAGCCTGCCTGGGTGCTACTGGCACAAGGTGGAACACAGGGTTAGGGACTGGCCCAGGTTTCCAGGAGGCAGCTCTCACAGGTACCCCACAGTACAACCACACCGGGACTCCACAACCTGACAGCACAGTCCCTCCTCTTAGGTTTATGATGCTCAAATCCAGCCTCAGCAATGTCAGAAAACATCCCAACTCCCCGAGATCGTGTTCCCAGGAGGCCACAGGCCAGAGGACAACACGACCAGTGCTGTTATTGCCTGGTGAAGACAGGAAATCCAACTCCTGCCAGCCAGCCTCAGCACCTGTGGGACCAACAGCTGCATATACCCAATACATAGACAAGGAAGACCGCCCCTCCTGACTACCTTAAAGGTAACTTGAACCAGAAACTGGCTGGAGCAAGCAGCTTTCCAGAGCAGTCTTTTGAAATTCTGATGAATCAGACGTGATTCCACTTGTTCTGGTCCAAAATCTGCTGTGTAGGACCCAGGACCTAGACCTGCACTGCCCAACACAAGAGCCAGCAACCAGCCACCCCTAGCTTTCTGAGCAATACAAATCAAGGCCTGCAGTTCAGGTAAAATAAATGTCAGATTTTGAAGGTTTTGTATATTAAAAAAAAAAGAAAAGAAAAGAAAAAGAAGCTGGGTACCACTGGCTCACGCCTGTAATTCTAGCTACTGAGGAGGCTGAGATCTGAGGATCACGGTTCAAAGCCAACTCGGGCAAGAAAGTCTGTGAGACTCTTATCTCCAATAAACCACTAGAAAAACCGGAAGTGGCGCTGTGGCTCAAGGGGTAGAGCACTTGCCTTGAGCTGAAGAGCACAGGGTTAGCGCCCAAGCCCAGAGTTCAAGCCCCACAACCCCAAAAAAAAAAAAAAAAAAAGGATAAAGTGTATCAAGAACTTTTAATATTGATTATACGTTAAAATATTTTAGAACCTATTAGGTTTAATTATATTAAAATTATTTTCACATTGTATGCTTATGTGTGTGTTCTGGTAGTAGGTACTGAACCAGGGCCTTGGGCATGCTAGGCAAACATTCCACCACTTTAGTTATGCCCTTAACAGTTTTGTTTCTATATTTTTTTCAGGTTTTTTTTTTTTTTTGGGGGGGGGGGTCAGCAGTGGGGCCTAAACTCTGGGCCCTGTCCCTGAGCTCTTCAGCTCAAGGCTAGCGTTATACCACTTGAGCCATATCTCCACTTCTGGCTTTTTCTGCTTATGTGGTGCTGAGGAATGGAACCCAGGGCCTCATGCATGAAAGGCAAGCACTCTACCACTTAGCCACCTTCCCAGCCCTCTATATTGTTTTTTGAGATAGTGTGTCACTATCTTTGCCAAGTTAGTGTCCTTATATCGCTTTTTTTTTCTTTTTTTCTTTTTTCTTTTTGGTACTAGTACTGGGGCTGAGCTCAGGGTCTGGGCACTGTCCCTTAGCTTTAGACCTCAGCCTCCTGTGTAGCTGGGATTATTGGCAAGAGCCACTGGCTTCCAGCTTGTCCTTGAACTCTCGATCCTCCCACTTCAGCCTCCTGATCGCTGGGATTACCAGGTTTGTACCACCATGCCCAGCTTTGTCTTTAAAAACATTTTTTCTTAACATGGTTACTAGTAAATTATCCATGGGAGTTCATATTCTATTATTATTAGCATCTGGTCTGAAATGATGGGGCCCCAAATTTATGTTAAAACCTAACACCCACTGTGACAGACAGTATTAACAGGTAGTGGTAGCACACACCTACAATCTCAATCTTAGCACTGGGGAAGCCAAGGGGAGGATCGTGAGTTTGGGGCCAGCCTAAGCTAACAGGGAGACTCTACCTCAAAAAAAAGGATATGAAGAAGTGGGGCCTTTGGAAGTGACTAAGTCACAGGGGTGCCACACTCATGAAAGGGTTAATCCCCTTATTTAAAAAAAAGGCTAAAGGGAGGCTTCCATCACATTAGCACACAACAAGGTGATCCTTATGGAACAGAGAGGGAGCTGCCATCAGACACCAAACCTGCTGGTGCCTTGACCTAAAACTCCCCAGCCTCCAGACTACAAGCAATTTGTGTTGTTTAGAAGCACCCAGTTTAAAGTATTTTGTTATAGTAGCCTGACCAGACTAGGGCACCATAGTATATTTCTATCCACAGTCATCCAAGTTCTTAAGTCTTGTCCTATGACCCAACCTAGGGTCTAGCTCATGACCTTGTCCTTTGGGAAAGCAAACAAGTCAGCTGCACATAACCCACAGAAGCACGAGGTAGCCCTGGCTCTAAGCCAGAGCCTCAGGTCTGTATCATCTCTATTCCTCAGAAGTTGCCTTCTACCTACTACTTGACCTCTGAGCCTTTTCCTTCTAGAACTGGTGTGAGGAACAGAAGGAACAAGAGGTGAAGATATCCATACTTCAGGCCTCGATGTAACTTAAACATCTGGCATGCTATGGCAAGTGTGAGCTCTGTGTCCTACACAGAGGCCTAAAATTCAGTCCATATCCGCTGGCTGTGCCCCTCGGCCTGGAACTGCATTTAACTAAGGGATGATCACCTTTATCTAACTCACAGGAAGAGGCTAGCTGCTCTAGGCTGGAAAGGTATCCTAAAGGGGCAAGAGTGGTGGGGAGAGAGTCCCTGTTTCCATGGGCCCAACAAGACAGCTGGCATTTGAAAAACCCACTTGCAGATCTAGGGATCTGGATAGCCAGCACACATCTCCAATCCACTGCTGACACTCACTTCAGGAAGGGAAGAGACCGGCTCAAAACTCATGCTCTTCTCAGCACTGGTTGGGGACTGGTTGCTGGGCCTTTTGCTGCTCTTGGAGCCTTCAGACTCCCTGTGTTCTTTCCCCTGTAGCAAGAAGAGATCAGCCATCAGCTCCAAAACAATGGTCAGCTGGTCCCTCCTGCAGCCCAAATTCAGCAGCCCCTCCTGCACCCTGAGGGGGGCTAGCCTGGCACTGGGAACCAGCCTGGACATGAGCCGTTCCAGAACAACTTGAACAACCAGGCCTGGGGCTGGTGTGCAGCTTCAGAAAAGCCCAGCCAAGCAGACTTGACCTTCCGGCCCCACTGTGTGCTGGCTTTCCCATTCCCCACTCCCACCCTGTTAGGCCCACTTTGGGGCAGAGTAGACTGGTGGGTTACCCAGTGCCGGAAGAGTGCATGCCAGGGGCTCACCCAGGCGTGAGAGCAAGTGAGAGGGTTAAGAAATGCTGATGCAAGAACAAAGGGCTGGGGGAGGGGGGGGACACAAGAAGGGACTCTTTTGAAAGGACATGCACATGCTAAGGAACATGCAAGGGGGAGGGGAGATCAAAGAGACACCTCACCATAGCACCCCGGGAGAAAAGTAAAGCGTTGGCCCGATAGTGCCAGCAGTGGAGGGCGGCCAGCAGGGAGCTGGCGAAGTCGGCTACCTGCTCCTCCACTGCCAGACTCTCCTCCTCCACCTCCTCCTCCTCCTCCTCTGCCTCCAAGCCTGGGGGCTCTGGCTGGGGCACCTTCTCTCTGCCTTCATGCCCTGCCAGGTCCTCCAGAGAGGCGGGAGAAGCCTGCTCCTCTTCTTCCTCCTCCTCTTCCTCTACCACCTCCTCTTCTTCCTCCTGTCGCTCTTCGTCCTCCTGTTCCTCCTCCTCCTGCTCCTCCTCCTCTGGGGCAGCCCCCTCAGCCTCTGGTTGTAGACTCTGCATATGGGATACCTGCTCAAAGTCCAGGAGGGCGCCGGCGCTGCCTGCATGCTGTTCAGAACACAAGGACCCCTGGTTACCCACCTTGAGGGTAACCTCCCTGCCTCCTTTGGGCATCTGGGGAGCAGAGAAATCACAGAAAAGCACTCTAGATGTCCAAACGGGCCTCCAATGGGGTCCAGTGTGAAGTGGGCATTTTGTCAGGAAGGCAGACCCAGAAGAAGCTTTCCTTACTCCAGACAGGGAAATATGAGAGCAGATCCCAGGCTGGACAGGCTATCAAAGGGGCTCCAAGAACAGGACATGGAAGGAGGGCATTCCCCATGAGCTGATCGGGCAGCCCCACCCACCCTCCATTCACCAGGGCCTCTTCCCTGGCTTCCATGAGCACCTGGGCCTCACCTTCATTCCTGCTGCTTTGGCTGTTGATCCACCACCAAATCCACACAGGGAACGGAGAGAGGAGGGAAAGAGACCAGTAAGCAGGAGAGAGTCCATTTAGAGAAATGGGAGCCCTGAGGGCTCCCATTCCCAGACCCCCTCACCCAATCCTGGCTTCCAAATGAATGATTGACAGCTGAGGAGCCCAGACTAAGAGCAGCATGGGCCTGTGCATATCACCTGGCTCCCGCTGTTAGCAAGGGAAGGGCACGGGGTAAGCAAGTCAAATCCCTGTGCAGAAAGCAGGGGTGAGGCCCTCTTCATGGGGAGGAACAGAGGCTGAGTTCCATCTAACCTGCTCTTCACAACTACCCACCAGGGTAGTCACCTGCTTCACTGCCCATCCCACCTACAGCCCCCTGGGAATGGCTGCCATCCCCCCAACACCCCTCTCCCCATCCTAACCCCCCACTCTCCTCACATACTTACACTTCTCATTCAGTTGTCTCAGCAGGTGTCTGGTTGGTTCTGAGGAGGAACACAAATGGGCAGAGTGAGCCACAGGCCAAGATACGGCGATGCCTGGCTGGGTCCCAAGCTCACAGCACTGCCAGCCCATCAGCAGCTCAAAGTTCACTTGGCAATGATCCCAGCAAGGCTAGGACCTCCAGGGGGCTCCCCGCACCCCCATGTTCCTGAGCCCTTTAATACTTTCCCAACACACAAGAGGACCTGGGCCATTCCTAGTCCTTTAAAGCCCTGCACCCAGCACACTACACTGCCCAACCCTTGTATTAGCACTCAGCCACGGCCTTTAGTTCTGGCACCACTAGGAAGGGACAGGCCCCATGCTGCCCTCCCCCCACCTCCCCTGGCAGACCAACTAGCCAGGTCTCCACCTCAAGCCCTTCTGTTTCCCTTATAAAGGAGGCACAAGCACATTAGCTACGCCCCTGCCAAGCCCCTGAGCACCCTGGCTGGGAAGCAGAGGTCGCACCGGACTTCCTACGGCCCTTAAAGCCTGACAGGATGAATCCTCGCTGCCTGCTGGGGAGTGCTGCCCGGCTGGACAGGTGAGGACCAGGCTCTGGGGACGGGATACAAAATATAACCATTAGGCTTTATGGGGACAGACCTGAGGGCAGGGATAAGAGAACCATGGCTGAAGAGTCCTCTCTCCAAGTCCCTTAGCCCAACGGCCCCTTCCTCCAGCCTGCCCAGCATTAAGTCAGCTTGGGGCTGGCCATAAACTTGGTGCCACAGGAAATCTACCAAGGTTTATTAACTGATCCTCAGCAGTGGATATATCCAACATCACACACAAATACATATATATACACATACATACATACATATACACATACATACATATATACATACATACATATACCCATGCATACATTCTATCTTTATCCATAAGTAAATATCTAAATGCTTTTTTGTTCTGGGGTGGGGGGTGCCAAACCAATTTGGCCCAAGGTTCAAGATCCACCCAAGAACAATACCAAGAACTTTCCAGAGACAACCTGGATCTGCCTTCTAGAAGATCAAACCCACACATCAATCCACACAGGGGTTCAAGGGATCCGTAAGTTGTAAGCCAATCAAACCCCAGTACACTTGTGGATCCAAGCCAAGACCCAGCTCACCATTAATCAAAAATCTTTCTCTCGGCTGGGAATGTGGCTTAGTGGTAGAGTGCTTGCCTAGCATGCATGAAGCCCTGGGTTCGATTCCTCAGTACCACATCCACAGAAAAAGCCAGAAGTGGTGCTTTGGCTCAAGTGGTAGTGTTAGCCTTGAGCAAAAGAAGCTCAGGGACAGAGCCCAGGCCCAGAGTTCAAGCCCAGGACTGGCCAAAAAAAAAAAAATCTTTCTCTCTAGGTGACTCTAAAATGGTTCTTGTGCAACCCTGTCCCTGTGGTTTATCCTAGATCTGTCACTAGGCCTCAGACTGAACAGCAGAATAAAATCAGCACAGAAAACATACACTGTGTGTTAGCTAAAAATAAAAGCAAAGTTTTTTTCTTTCTAAAGAGACGATTTGTTCCAATAAATCTAAGAGACCATTAGCAAGTCCTGTAATGGAAGAAAACCCAAGAGAGGAAAATGGAACTTTTTCCAGAGACCCAAAGTAAATATTTCCTGTCTGGATTTGGTGCCACTTGGTCTAACTCATTTTTCTTGTGTCCTGCTTCTGTTCTATCACTCTGGAACTGGGCTGGGACTATCCATGGTGCCTAACGTCTTACTCCTGGCTGAGGAGCAGAGAAAGAAGGTTTCTGTGGAAAGAAAGCAAAGAAGAGACGCCAAGGCCTGAATGATCAAGCATTTTTAGAGCTCTCCAAAGGAGAACTGCCCTCCTTTTCAAAGGCAGGTAAGAAGGCCCCAGGGGAGCCTGGTGAAGTTCGAGGCGCACAGAGCAAGGATACTCTGCGCGTGTTCACTGGCCCTTCCCCAGGTTTCTGCAGAGTTGAGGGTGGCAGCCCCAGAAGCTACAGAGGGTCTCCAGATCGGTCCAGGATCCTGTGAAAAGACCTTTTTGCCATGCTGAACCCTTCCTTTACCAGATTGCCGGCGCCCCTGCCGCACATGGGTGGACACCTCATCCTGGGAGGACCAAGCCTTCTTCAGTCTCTCTGGGCTACAGCGGTACCGAGTGGGATCTGCAAGCAGGAAGGAGACAATCAAGGGCTATCACTACATCAGCCCAATTCTAGACCTGACACCCACCCACCCCAGCTCCAGATGCCTCAGGAGCCTCTTCCATCTTCTTCCCTCCAGGGGCTTCAGGCACTTAGTTCCTGCCCCTTACCAGGACCATGCCCCTAGGTGTATAGGAGGTATGATAGGAGGCTCCCACCCCTACCCTCTCTGCTCCTGGAATGAAAGCATCAGGCAAATCTCTCCTGGGACACAGCCCAACCTGGCTATTCACATCAATAGGCACCAAACAGGAAGGAAGAGATAACTTACAATAGGAGTCCATTTCCAAGATGGCTTCCTTGGCCTAGAAGGAAAAGAAAGTCACCTAGTTACCACCTTTCTCTGTGCTGCACCTCCTCTGCTCAACAAGACACCTCACTGTGCTGTGCCCGGGCCTGTGCATCTCTTATGTTGACACATACTATCCAGCACAGCCAGTGTCCAGAAGGTGGAGAGCCCCAGCCAGGAGCACCCTTCAGGACCAACCTTCTGAGGGATGGTGGCATGGTGATTCTCCAGGATGAGCCTCTTGATGTGATGAGTCCAGCTTCGTTTCTCCTCTGCTGACTTGGCCTGGGAAGACCCAAGAGAAAGGGACCCAAGGTTATTACCACAGGTTATTATTAATAACCTAGGGTTATTATAATAGGCAGAAGCTGTGCGGCATCACTAGCACTGGGACCCAGAGGAAGAAATGGAAAAGAGGGGCTATGCTGGAGCCTACAAGGTTGCCTTGGTTCTTTACAACCCTCAGAGGTGCCTGTGATGATCACTGCTTTACAGGGAGAAATCCTAAGGTTCAAGGCAGCTAGGGAATCAGGAATCACATGCAGGTGTGCTTGGAAATCTTGCCCTGACCCCAGCCCCTGTACCTCAGCCCCTCACCTGGATACTGTACTGCTGCTTGCTGTGCTTGTAGTGGGTGACGGTGAAGCACAGGGAATCCCTGGTGCTTTCGATCAGCATCAGTGAGGAGCACTGTGGGGCAGAGGACAAAGCGGTCAGGGAAGAAGGGGGCCTCCAACCCTCTCTCAGAAGGATAGCACTGGAGCCAGAGGAGCAGGCAAGAAGTGGAGGGGTCAAGGTCTTTAAGGAAGGAGAGAAGGCAGCAAAGGAGGCAGAGTGGCCTGGTTACCGGGATGTGACCCTTGTAGACAAAGTGATCGCCCCGCTTCTTGGTGATGAGCAGTATTTTGTCAAACAGGAAGAAAGTTCTCTCATTTCGCACTCGGTGCACACGGAACGTGCCCTCCAAGACAAGCTCCCCATAGGTGGTTAGGTCTGGCCCTTTCCAGTTGATGAGCAGCGATTGAATCTCCTGCAATAGAAGCCCCCAGGCCCAGGGTTAGGCCTCGTGAGATCCAGGAGGCCTATGCAGACTGACTCCAAAGGCTCCCAACAGCTCCCAAACACCTCCTTGGCTCAGCCCAGCAGGGTGTCCATGGTCCCTTTCCCAAAAGCCCCACGGGCCTACCCACCTACGTCTCCCCAGCCTCCCAGCCCAGAGTACCTGGAGCCGGACTGCATGCTCATGTCTCCTCTTCATGTCATTGATGTACCATGCCACGCAGGTCATGGTGTCAATGGCATCTTCCACCACTTCAAAGCCATCCTCTTCCTCATCAAAATGTTTAGCAATTTCCTATATAGGACACGGGTATTTGGGCAACACCAGCTCAAGGGCTCTGTCCCCCCATCCCCAATCTCCCAGTCCTGGGGAAGGACCCCCCCATGGCTACCTGGAGCAGCAGGTGATACTTGAGGATGCGCTGGACTGGCTTCAGCAGGTAGGAGCCCAAGGGCAGCGAGTGCTGCAGCAGCTCCTGCCGGTCCCGGAAGAACTTGGCCTGCTGCTTGTCCTGCATACATTCCGTCAGGGCGGCCACGGAGCTGGGAGTGGGGAGATGGGAGTGGGGTAATGAAGTTGTTGCCACCTGGGGAAGGCCTGGGGAAGGGGCAGGGGCCCAGACTCATCAAGTAGCTCAACCTCCCCCTCTCCACCCCAATTACTCACTTTGGGTAGTTGTTGCAATACTGAGTGTAGATATCAAACTCTTGGCTCTAAAGAGAGACCAAAAATAGTGACTTCAGGGAGTTTCTCATTTGAATAAAAGCCTGATAGGACCAAAGACAGGTGTCTGGTCCCTGGGCATGCTCTGTCCTCCCTTCCCCCAAAGCCATCTTTGTACCCATTTGTCTAGAGCAATTCATTCACCCGGCCCCTAGCTCCACCCCACTCAACGCACAGCACACAGCCTTTCTTCTGAAGGGGGAACCCTAGGACTCAGAATTCTTCTCAGGATGGACATGCTTATCCCTTTGAATGCCCAACAAGGCAGGACAAGAGGTAATGACCCAACCCTTCTTACCCTCTCCACAAAGCAGCTGGCCACAGCCACTGGGTCACTATTGCAGCTGTCCAGGTCTCTTAGTAGTTGGCTGAGTGAGAGGGAAAGCAGCCATCAGAGATCAACCTCGGCAGCCTCCTCAGCGGTGACATGCCCCTGCCCACCTCCTCAGACCTACACTCACATTTAGCGCTGGGGTCATGCTAAGAGCTGGGGCTCCCACCCTCTGAATAAGCCCTGTCCCAGGCATTAACCACACAAAACAGCCAGTCCACCATACAGGAAGCCCAGAATACACACATGCTCAACAAGCAAAGGAGCAAGAGGGCACAGCAATACGCACCTCAGGAGGGGACACGGCTCCTCTGCGGGCAGAAGGAGTCAAACATACAAAAGCAGAGATTAAAGAGGGAAGGAGAGAGGGGACTAGCAAAAAGCAGGCTTCTGGATGGGAAAGAAGAAGTATGGAGAGAAGGGGTGAGCCTGGAACCCTGATCTGAGATGAAACACCATAAGAAATCCCAGAAATAGGGCTGGGAAGGTGGCTCAGTGGTAGAGTGCTTGCCTTGCATGCATGAGGCCCTGGGTTTGATTCCTCAGCACCACATAAGGAAAAAGAAAAAAGCCGGAAGTGACGCTGTGGCTCAAGTGGTAGAGTGCTAGCCTTGAACTGAAGAGCTGAGGGACAGCGCCCAGGCCCAGAGTTCAGGCCCCACAACCGGACCCAAAAAAAAAAAAAAAAAGAAATCCCAGAAATAGAGTCCCCTGTCTCCTCTACCTATGCTCTTTCGCTTTTCCCAGCCCTACTCCCCCGACCCCACCCCTCTTCCTAAGTCATACTTGGATCCTGCTTGTCTAGACTTCTCCATCTACAGAATTTCTTCTACCCACTTTAAGTCATCTAGGGGGAAGGGGGGCCTCAGCCTATCAACACCATTTCCCCAGCACGTGACAGGACCCTTCCCCTGAGGGTCTGTGGTCCTACAGCAGCAGATTCAAGCCCTCAGAGCCCCCTTAGCTGGTCCTAAGATAGCCTCACCAGGCCTTATTCAGCCTCACCAGGTCCTGCATTCCACTAACAGGTCAGATCATCTCTAGGGAGCCTGATCTCCCTTGGGATCAGTGGGAAAAAGAGGATGAATTATGAGACTTGCAAGTAGAGGACGATGATGAGAAGAACAGGCCAAGCGCTGGTGGCTCACGCCTGTAATCCTAGTTACTCAGAAGCTGAGAGCTGAGGTTCACATTTCAAAGCCAGCCTGGGCAAGAAAGTTTGTGTGATTCTTATATCCAATGAAGCACCAAAAAAGCCAGAAACAGGGCTGTGGCTCCTGTGGTGTAACACTAACTAGCCTTGAGCAAAAAAGGCCAGGGACAGTACCCAGGTCCTGAGTCCAAGCCCCAGAACCAGCACACAAAACAGCGATGAAAAGGACAACATAGCCGCCCAAAAGAAAGAACAATATGTGGAAGCAGGTGTTGACCAAGCTTGCTGGATACCAGAGCACATGACTTCAGATTTTCTCTAGAAAGTGCATCAGCCCAGGGCACATTCTCCCAGTTGGCATCCTCTCTGCAGCACAGAGCTAACTATGCCCTTGTGCAGGGGTGGACCTCTATTCCCCATCCTCAGAGATCAGGTCTCAGGTCCACATGTCATAGTCCCATGAGTCCGGGGACATTCCCCTGGCCCTGAGGTGCTGCCTGAGAGCATGATGTCACCCCCACTCACATACCTGTTCAGCGCATAGATGCTCTCTATGTTCCCGAAGAGGGCACTGACTTGCTCTGGTTTCAACAGCCCAGGGGTGTCAATGATCTTCAAGAGGTAGTCCTGCATGGAGAGAGGCAATCAGAACCTGGTCACTCCTGGCTCCATCTTGCCCAACTACCTCCCTTAGGCACACCTCAATTCTGCACTGATTTTATAGCCATCAACAACTTCATAGACAGCACTCACTGGGACTGGATAATATCTACCCCCAAATTCATAGCCACTTGGCACTCAAAAAATAATCTTATTTGGAAATAGGGTCCTTACAAATGTCACTAATTAACACTCTTAAGATCATAACATTTTGGGCTGGGAAGGTGGCTCAGTGGTAGAGCACTTGCCTTGCATGCTTGAGGCCCTGGGTTCGATTCCTCAGCACCACATAAGAAAAAAGTCGGAAGTGGCACTGTGGCTCAAGTGGTAGAGTGCTAGCCTTGAGCTGAAGAGCTGAGGGACAGCGCGCAGGCCCAGAGTTCAGACCCCACGACCGGACCCCCCCCAAAAAAAAAAATTTTTTTTTAAAAAAAAGATCACAACATTTTAAAAAAGTGGGTATGCCAGGCATTGGTGACACATAGCTAATGATCCTAACTCTCAGGAGGCTGAGAGCTGAGAATTTCTGTTTAAAGCCAGCTATACAGAAACATCTGTGAGACTGTTATTTCCAATTAACCGGCAAAAAAAAGCCAGAAGGATAGCTGTGGCTCAAATGGTAGAGCACCAGACTTGAATGAAAAAGCCAAGTAAGAGTATGAGGCCCTGAGTTCAAGCCCCAGTACCAGCACTCAAAAAAAAAAAAAAAGCTGGGTATAGTGGTACAAATTAATAATCCCAGCTGTTTAGTCTGTGGAGGTAAGACACAAAGCTATCAAGACCCTGTCTCAAAAATTAAATAAAGACAAAAGGGTTGGTGATGTGGCTCAAGTGTCAGAGTGCTTGCCTAGCATATGCAAAACCCTAGTAACACCTCCCCAAAAAATTATCAGTTAACATTTTAGGAGGGCTTCAAGTCCAATGACTGATTTCCTCACAAGAGGAGAAGCCACAGAGATGAACACCAACGGTGCTTGTGCCCTGAATGGTATGAAACACTTCCCCTATGCCACACCTGCGAGTCAGGTGTGCCCTTGGCTTTGCAGAGGAAGAATGGTGGGCTCAGGTCATCACTTGATGCCCAACACAGACCCCAGAGCCAGGCAACAGCAGAGCAAGGATTACTGGGACGGCCTAGATTCCGTTTCTGCAGAGCACAGTGGTCTTCCCAGTTAGGCTGGGGTCCCTCAGATCCCCCTCACAGTGTCCACTTCCTGTGCACTTACAGGAAGTTCCCCTCACCGCAGGCTACTCCTGTAGCTCAACATCATAAAGGAAGCAGAAGTGAATGTTCTCCCCACGGCAGAAGCCTGAGGCCTCCTCTAGAGCTGATGCTCTAGAGGAGTAAATTTTCCATCCCAGTATAGGATGGGGCTCCTCCCAGGGATGGACCACTGGAGACCAGTGTCCCTCACCCTAGAAGGAGATGACACTTCCTCCCTGGCCTCAGCACGCACCTCCACGATGCTGCGCAGGTCCTGCACATACATACGCTCCGTTTCTACGATCTCCCGCACCACTCGGCCCAAGTAGCTGAGCTTGTGGACAGGTCCCGCTGCCCGGCTGTTGAATGGGGACAGGGACCCCTTCCCGTTCATCCAGCTGCTGGAGTTGTTGTTGATGTTGGGGGAATGACGGCCACATGGGGAGCCCACCCCATTCTGGGCAGAAGCCTCAGGGACGGTGGGCTCCTCCATGGTGCTGTGGCTGTCACGGGAGGAGCCAGAGGAGGTGGTGGACATCAGGCTCAATGGCCGCTCCTGGCTGCCATCTGGGTGAAGGGTGGCAGAGACGGGCATCCTGGCATTGCTGCCTGGTGGGGGCACTTCAGGGAGATTCTGGAGCAAAACAGATAGACGTGTGTCCACTTGAGTCCCCACAGAAATCAGAAAGCAGAAAGTAGGTTGCCTGGAGTGGGGGAGGGTGGCATGGAGGTTTTCTTACTGCACAGGTCAGTTTATTGTCACTGAATTACATTTCAGCGTGGTCAGGATGGCAAGCTTTTCATTAAGTATATTTTACCACAGTTAAAAAACAAAAACTACGGCTGGGAAGGTGGCTCAGTGGTAGAGCACTTGCCTTGCATGCCTGAGGCCCTGGGTTCGATTCTTCAGCACCACATAAGTAAAAAGATAAAAAGCCGGAAGTGGCGCTGTGGCTCAAGCGTTATTGCGCTAGCCTTGAGCTGAAGAGCTGAGGGACAGTGCCCAGGCTCAGAGTTCAGGCCCCACGACCGGACCAAAAAAAAAAAAAAAACTAAACCAGGAGCTAGTAGTTCATACCTGTAATCCTAGGTACTCGGGATCAAACCATGATCTGAGAATCATGGTTTGAAACTACCTGGAGTAGAAAAATCCATGAAACACCATCTCCAAAATAACCAGCAAAAAGCTGGGCTGGAGATGGAGCTCAAGTGCCACCTGAACAAGCATGAAGTCCTGAGTTGAAACCCCAGTAACAGCCCTAAAAAAAGAAAAGGAAGAAATAAGAGGAGGAGGGGGAGGGAGGAGGAGGGAGGGGGAAGAGGAGGAGGAGGAGGAGGAGGGGGAGGAGGAGGGGGAGGAGGAAGAGGGGGGCGCAGCAGCACATCCCAAGTACCTGCTTGTCAGGCCTGTTCAGGGTCACCAGATAGAGGCACTATTAAGACAACACATAATCCAGTGGATAATACTCTGCCCAGGACTGCTGTCAGGCCTGTTCCAGGGCCAACACATAAGGACAAAAGTGTTAATACACACAGGGATGGGTAATTTTCTGCCTAGGACTGCAAACTCTCAGGACATCTGTGGCTTTAGCGTACAACTGAAACGTTGTGGATACTGATGAGAATGAGGGAGGAGAGAGTGACCACCTTTCCTCTACTCCACACCCAGCACCTGGTATAGGCAAGAACCTGACTCAACCAAACCAGGAAATTCCCCAGGGCTGAGCCACCACTGAGTCTCCACAAACTCCCCTCAGCATGGCTGGGTCAGTGCAGCACAGAGGACAGGAAACTGCACCCAGGTGAGGCAAACACAGCCTCAGGTGAACTTTATTCCCTAAAGTGATAGTACAACTCCTAGGTAGGCCCATGGACAGCTTCAAAGGGGACAGTGGACAAGAGCCTATTTCTGATTGTGTTTTGAGGGAAAGACAGGACACCCGAAGCCACAACTCACCAGCACCACTTTCCATAATGCTCACTTGACTGTTCTTTCCACAGGGGAAAGAAAGCTCCAAGGTACCTCCCTCACCTCTGCTGATCCAAGTCTCCTAACCCAGCCTAAAGCTCAGAAGCTACCTGACCAGACAAGGCCAAGGGACAGGGGCCTGAGCTAGGAGGAGGCTAGCTACAAAGTGTCATCATTCCAGTGCTCTTGGTACCTGCCTCCTGAGGGTTTTTTTTTTTTGTCTCTGCTCCCACCTGGAAGACAGCCTCTCTGGACTCTGACTTTTGCAAATATTGTCCTCTCTACCACAGCATTATTTCCTCCCCACCAACTCCATGCCAAATCTCAGATTGGCCATGACCTCTAGGAACCTCCCGAACATGGTTCACTAGTTGACCCTCCCAGGTTTTCCCTTCTGGAGTGCTCACTATGAGATACTGCGCTAGTTTAAGACCATCCACCCTGGGCTGCCAGTCACTTATAGGCAGGGGCCATAAAGGCCGACTTTGACAAGAGAAAAGCAATGGTGAACAAATCGATGCTTTTGTCCAGACCTACTTGCCAACTACCCCTGACCTAGCAGGGACAGCTCTTGTCTCTGCTGGTTGGGGAAGGGGGAGGGGGGGGCACATGGGTCACCTCCAAGGTGTCTATATAATCTCTCACATGGCAGATGAGGGCTCAGAGAGGTACCCCAGGATGGTGTTGGTGGATCTCAGAGGGGATCCCAGGAAAGGCAGCACTGCTTGTGGGGGCTACCACCACCTCCCTGTTCCAAAGAGCCTCCACAGGAATCAGCTATGCCAGCAGCAGGGCACCATGGCATTCCCACACAAAGGCACAAAGGCCCAAGCATGGACCAACCTCCCGGCGCGTGACACTCTCCCTGAGGTGCCCTGCAGGCCTTTAAAGCAGTTGCACAGTCAGGCCCCAGCCCAGCCCCAACAGTCCCAGCTGGAACAATGGGGCAGGCACTTAGACCTAAGACCTTTCCCAGATTAGCCCTGAGGTCAGTCAGCTCCTGTGGGGAGGCTAAATGGAAAAGGCCCAACTCCCAAATGGATTTCCCAGCTAGCCAGGTCACCACCTTAAAGCAAAGGATTCGTCACAGCCTTAACCCTAGCCCATGCGTGCTATCAGCAAGATTATTCTCTTAAAAGTACACTTCTGAGGGCCACGATTTGGTGACCCCACTGTACGGGGGCTCCAAAGAGAAATGAAAAGCCTAAAATTAAAGTACCTCTTTGCTTGGAGAAGTTATCTCTGGTTGAACACAGATACCCACCTGCAAACACTTGCTCACAGTTTGCAAGTAGAGTTGCTGCTGAATCTTTCTGAGGCTAAAGAGACTGGCTGCCTGCTCAAAGGTTCTCAGTGCTATCTCTATACATGGCAAGTCACCCACCCTGTTAACACTACTACAATCCGATCCCCACTTTACAGATGCATAACTGGGGACCGCAGCAGTAATAAGTGGGGAGCTGGAACAGAACTGCCTTACTACCGCAACATCATGGTTTCCCGGCCACTGCCTCCCTGATGGATTTTGCATCAGGCAGGGCCACTAGCGAAGATTAGTCACAGCTCCTGGATTCAATGGCTTGGGTTCGGCATAGGTTATAGGAAGACCTAAAAGACTGGGGCCTCCAGCAAGACCGTGAAAAGGGCTGACTGAGATGGCTGTTTGTATACCTGCTGTGTGACCTGTGGCCACTCAGTCTCCTTTCAGAACAACATGGTAAAACATAGATCCCCGGTGAAGAGTCGCAGGCATGGGGAAGCAGAAAGGAGAAAGGAAAGGATTCTCAGGATCAGACTGAATTTCTCAGGTAGTAAAAGAAAAGAAACACTCATTATCATACAGCCTCTCTCCTGGTCAAGGGGACTCCCGGCCCCCAAAAAAGAGAGGCCAAGGAAAGGGCGGGGGGGGGGGGGCGGGGGGAGATAAAAGAACAAATGGAAGAGCAAGTACTGCAAAGCAGGGTTCCAAGTGTGGATTGTCAAGAAGGCCACCAGATGGTGACAGAGAAGATTCTAACATCCTTCTCCATTTGAGTGTGTTCCAGCTCCTAGAGGCTCATTTGAACCCCTACCCTGTGTAGAGCTCACATTCTCACAGACACAATACTACCCACATGTTTCCTGGGCATGGACAAGCTTTCCTTCCCACCCAGTGAGCATCACACATGTTGCAAAACTCTATCCCAAACCAGGATGACAATCTGATTGCTCAAACTCAACTTGGAAGATATTAGCTGCTGCCAGGCGCTGGTGGCTCATACCTGTAATCCTAGCAACTCAGGGAGCTGAGATCCAAAGATCACAATTCAAAGCCAGTCCAGGCAGAAAACATGAGACATTTACCTCCAAACAGCCATTATTTGCTATTAACCAGCAAAAAGCAGGAAGTGGAATTATGCCTCAAGTGGCAGAGAGGCAACCTTGAACAAAAATACCCTACAAGAGCATGAGGCTGCTAGGAAAGGAATGGATTGTGTGGACAGCTGCCCAACACTCAAGCCCACACCATCTTATCTCCAGGTCCCCTACACAGCCCCAGATGAGACCCCTTCTGTCATCTAATAACCCAATCAGTTTTGAACCCATAAATCAGAGTTCTAGAAAACTTTATACCTCTACCCAGGCAAGGGGGTGCATACCTATAATCCCAGCTACATGACAGGTGGACCAAAAGGATCACTAGTTATGATACCAGCCTTGGCAGAAGGTAGCAGTGATACCCAGTCTCACATAAAAAAATAATAATAATAAATTAATTAATTAATTAAGAGGAATGCTCAAGTGGCAGAGAAGCTTCCCTGGTGTGTGCTAGGCCCTAGACTTAATCCCCAGAATCACAAATAGCAAGAAGGCAGGCAGGCAGGCAGGCAGGGAGGGAGGGAGGGAGGGAGGGAGGAAAGGAAGGATGAGTGGAGGGAGAGGAGGGAGGTAGACCACTATCTCAAGTTCTACACTGTGAAGCTCTCTGACAATGTCCCCAAAGACCGTTCTTTCTGATATGTCTAAGAAGTGAAGATATATACCTTTTTTAAGGAGCCAAGGGCAGGAAAAGGAAGAAAAATCCGTTTCTTTCTTCTTCTTTAAACTTTCTCCACATTCAAGTGTAATCCACACCCTTGCTCTACCCACACCTCCCCAGGTTACCTGCCCCACCTCCCGCGGGCAGGGGCCGGAGGCAGGCAGGCTGCAGCAGGCCCGGGGAAGCCAGCACAGCCAAGTCCCACACCCTCCCCTCAGCCAACTCCGCCTCAGCGCAGCGCCCTCAACCTGACCCACAGAGAAGAAAGCGACACCCCCAAAACATGCATTTGCCCCCGGTTTGTCCACAAGCCTCATGTCCCTCCGGCGAAGGGACCCTGCTCCTCCCTTCAGAAAGGGTCATCCCACAGGAAAACCCACCTGGAGCCTTCCAGAACTCTTGCTTCTGGTCCTGGAGGACCCCTAAGATTCAGGCGTACTCCCTCTGGTTGTCCCTCCTAGACCAGTGAGTGGAAAAGAGGAGAGGAGAGGACCGGGCATGCTTGGGGTGAGCCCTCTAGTAGGTGGGAAGACTGGAGACTCCCTGAAAACATCTGGTTCCAAAAGACTGACGTCATCTTTCCACCTACTGCCCTTCACCCCAAAAGCCAAGAGTGGAAGCCCCACAGTGCCACGCCTGTTTGAAG